GGCTGCTGTGAAAGGGGGTGAAGGGGTGGCTCTGCTCCCCCCTGTGCCCCTCACAGGCCGTGAGTGACTCAGCCCTGCCTGTATGTTCATGCCTGGGGGACGAGGGGAAGGTTTCTCCCTAAATGCCGGTGTGGTGCAGATGAAGCTGCTCCCGCTGCGGCAGAAGAAGGCCCACGTGATGGAGATCCAGCTGAACGGGGGCACGGTGGCCGAGAAGGTCGACTGGGTACGTGAGAGGCTGGAGAAGCAGATCTCTGTGCACAGTGTCTTCAGCCAGAACGAGATGATCGATGTCATTGGCGTGACCAAGGGCCACGGCATGAAAGGTACAGAGCAAGGAGAGCCTTGCCAGGGGTTTGGGTCTGTCCTTCTCACGTGACACTGCCCCTGGGGTAGTTTGGGGGAGGAGAGTGTTAACCACACTGAGAACTCCCCAACTTGTTGCACAGGGAGTAGCAAAGAGCCTCTGGATCTCAAGCCTGACATCCAGTTCTGTTGTAGCAGAACTTGGTTTCCTTAATCTCAGGGATTCCAGTGAGGGCAAAGTGCAACAGGGGCACCTCTGATGTAGATACAAAGGAGCTGACCAGGTAACCTCTGATGGAAAGATTTTCTTTGAGATTAAGGCCATTAAAGGCCATGTTGTCTTCTCTGCTCAGAGTCCCCCCAGGAGGCTCAGAGACACCATGAACCTGGGCTAGTGGAAGGTGGCCCTGCCCATGGCAGGGGGCTGGAATCGTGTGATCTCTAAGGCCCCTTCCAACCCAAACCATTTCAGGATTCTCTGGCTCTCTGAACTCCTCCCCAGCCCCAAGTGTGCAGAGGTGTGGGTGCTCCTGTGTGTGTGCATGGAACACATCCCAGTCTGACCAGAGCCCTGGGAAGTGAGAGCAGAGCTGTGCCCCAGTCTGTCCCGCTGCTGAGAGCTCTTGGTCTCCCCCCAGCACTGTCTCTGCAGGATGATGAGCCTCTCCCTCCCTTACATTCCCAGGGGTGACGAGCCGCTGGCACACCAAGAAGCTCCCCAGGAAGACACACAAGGGGCTGAGGAAGGTGGCCTGTATCGGGGCCTGGCACCCTGCCCGTGTGGGCTACTCCATCGCCCGTGCTGGCCAGAAGGGCTACCACCACCGCACCGAGATCAACAAGAAGGTACGGCCCGGGGGGAGCTCCCTCCGACCACCACCCACCTTCCTGCCTCCCATCCTGCCTCCATCCTTCTTTGCAAGGTGCCCTCAGTTCCCCCCAGGCTCTCCAGATGTTTCCCGAGAGATCTCCCTGTCTTTCCTGGTGCTTTTTCCCTGCTCGAGGGCACATCTTGGTGAACACCAGGTCGTCCCATGATTCTTTGTGTGTGATTCTGTCAGGGGCAGGAATGTCCCCACCTCTGTTGCCTCTCTGTTCCCAGATTTACCGCATTGGCCATGGGATCCACGTGGAGGATGGCAAAGTGGTGAGGAACAATGCCTCCACCCATTATGATATCACGGAGAAGACCATCACACCTATGGTAAGGGCTGAGGGCTAACGGGGCTGTGACTGGCTCTGGCTCAGGAATCTGAGCCAGGGAAGTAATTCCTTGTTTGGAGACAGCTGTGTAGGAAATGATTTGAAGGAAATTCACTGTAAGAAATGCAGTGATTCCTTTCCTTATGTTTTGGACACGGGAAATCATCCACGTGTGGTGTCTTTTCAGGCCCATTGGTAGATCCTTGTGGCTGATAACTTGGGTGGGAAATGAGAATTTGCTTTAAAAGAAAAAGAAGAATAAATCACATCAAAAATCTGACAGTTAACAGAAAAATGTTTGTTACTTGGTCTAAAAATTCACGTTTGTGTATTAAAAGCTGTCCACTTTTGAGTCTGGCCAGCTCTGCTCTCAGTTCACTCACACCCTCCAGCGAAGGAAGCAGGTTCTGGTTCCCCAGCTCTTATTTGGTGGATCCAGCTGGGATAACTCAGTGTGGCTGACATGGTTCTAGTGGTCTAGTGGAAGGTGTCTGAAACTGGGTTTAAGGTCCCTCCAACCCAAACCATTCCAGGATTCTGTGACTCCCAGTAGGCAACTCGAAGGGTGCAGAGTGCTGTCAGCTGGAAGGACTGTCAGGCACTGCCTTCTCCTTCCCTAGAAAATGCCTCCTGTAGACAGGTGTGCTCCCACCCTGCTCTCCTGCCCTCCAACCTCTCTGCCTCTCCCCACAGGGTGGTTTCCCTCACTATGGGGAGGTCAACAACGACTTCCTCATGCTGAAGGGCTGCGTCGTGGGCACCAGGAAGCGCGTGCTCACCCTGAGGAAGGTGAGGGTGCCACAGTGCCGGGCAGGGATGGGCTGCAGCTCTCCAGGAACACATTCCCCACAAGGAGAATCCTCCAAATGCTGGGCAGGGGGATTGGTCAGATCCCTGGTGCTGTGTTGCAGAGGGCAACGTGGCACACGAGTGTGGTGCTCAGACCACGGGCAGGCAGACGGTTTGTGGGGTGTGCAGGTGGGTGGAGTCTCTCTGGAGGCAGAAGCCTCAAATCCCCGAGGGGCCCAGAAATGAAACCTTGGGCTGTGAGGAAACGAAAGAGCAGCTTTCACCTGCCACCTGAGCACCAGGGTGCTGCTCTGATAGCACAGATTTTCGTGGAGATATTTGTTTAAGGGCTATTCCAACCCTGTTCCAGCAGAGCAGAAGTCCTGGTTTTCTGTAACGATAATCCTGATGTGTTGTGACTCTCCTTCCCCAGTCCCTCCTGGTGCACACAAGCCGCCGGGCTCATGAAGCCATCGAGCTCAAATTCATTGACACCACTTCCAAATTTGGCCACGGCCGCTTCCAGACAGCCCAGGAGAAGAGGGCTTTCATGGTGAGTTCCCTCTGGGCTGCCTCCAGCTCCTCGTGGGGCTAAAGCAACTGACTGTCTCCAACCAAGCACCTTCTAGTGGAAGGTGTCCGTGCCCATGGCAGAGAGGTGGAACTGCATGAGTTTGAAGGTCCCTTCCAACCCAAAGCATTCCAGGATTCTCTGATTCCATGATCTGCTTCTCTATATAACAACAGGCAAATGAATGATTGAGGCTCTCTTGCATAAAGACAGTCATGAATTCAGTTCACGCAGCAGAAATTATGCGAAGGAAGAACATGAGTGTTGTGTGAGTGATCCAAGACAACCCAACTAGCAAATAATAGACCATATGGTCAACCAGTTCCCATTCACCTCGGGAAGTTTTAAACAAGCAGTTAACTTGGCAGGCACTGCCTTGGCCATATGGTCCCTTTCACTTGGAATTGTGCACTGCTTTGATTTGTTTGGAATGATTTATAGCTTTAATGTTCTTAAGAGGAAAAAAGTTTGGGTCATATTCAGGCACAAATTTGTGATTCTTCTGTCAGAAGCTTTCAAGAAGGCCAAGCAGTGTATTTTTCTTAAATACAGGGCAAAAAAGAAAAAAGATTAAATAATCCAAACCAAGCAGTTTCTTGAATAGCTTTGCAGCCTACACCAGAGTGCTGCAAATCTGAACTGAAATGGAGGAAGCATTGAGTAAGCCAGGAGAGAGAGAAGGAGAAAGGAAAAGAAACAACTGCCTGGATCCCACGGAGATGTAAACTGGGTCTAGATCTGGCCTGTCAGCCAGAAATGCCATGTGAAGCTGGCTAAGCCTCCTTAGTGCTGGGAGGGGGATTGGTTTGACAGTGCCTTTGCAGAGCTCTTTAGAGGTTAAGCTGATTTCCTTCAGCTCAGTGTCAGGAGCCTGGTGTGTGTCACGGCAAACCCTGAGCTGCTGTGGTGAGGATCTCAGGGGCAGCAGGAGGTTTCACCTGGGTGCAGCTCTTTTCTTTGCCATTTCCCCCTGTATATTGTGTGGTAAAACATCACATTTGGCTGGAATTTGAGGCACATAAGTAATCCCTGCTGTCTGCTCCCACAGGATTGATTTGTTCTGGGACAACCCCATTTTTTAGCCTTAGGCTCTATTGAGTTGGATGCCAAGTAGCTGTGCCTTGAGCTTAGGGAGGTCTTGCCTCCTCCGAGGCTCAGGCAGCAGTTCAGCAGCTTTCCTACCATGGAAACACTGGAACACCTCCTGGAAAAACTCATCAGCCCAGTTCCTGGTCCCCTCCATGTTCCCTGACAGAGATCAGCCCCCTGGCTCAGGGCAGGTCACTCCTCGTGCTCTTTGGCTGCTCTGGTGCTGTCCAGAGAAACAAACCCTCTGTACAAGGGCAATGATGCTCCTTTCCCAATTCCTGGAGCGTGCTGGAGGCTCGGGGGGGCTGGTGGATGGTGGCACGGAGCCCCCAGCTGGGGAGCAGGGACCAGGAGCAGCCTGGCCCAGTAGAGCTGCATTTCTGCTCCCCACAGCCCAGATGCAGCTCTTCAGGCCAGGTTTGTCTGTCCCTAACTCCAAACTCTCCTCTCTGCTCCCTTCCAGGGCCCTCAGAAGAAACACCTGGTGAAGGAGAAGCCAAGTGTGCAGGAAGAGCTGTAAGGATGGATACGAGGCTGCCTAACTGGGCACTTCCAATAAAGAGGCTCCAAGCTGTGCCTGCTCCCTGTCTTCCCTCTGGAGGGATGTCTTGCCTGTTTTTGGCAGGCAGGGATGGGAAAAGTGGCACTTGGGATTGGCCCATATGGACAGGGACTAACTGGGACAGCCAAGTGTCTGCTCTGGCCTCTATGTCCTCCCTTTCCTTTTCCAAGTGATTTTTTTCTCACTCACCCAAACTACCATAAAGACTCCCCTTCCTTCCAGAGGAGAGCAGAACAGGTACCTGCACTCCTACACTTCTGCCCCAGTTTCCACTGGGAATACTGGGCCTTCTGACTTGCCTGTGCCCAATGTCCCTGACAGTCTCTCCCCTCACTGCCTCTCACACACTCACCCAGACACTGTTTTGCTGAGCTGAAGGTTTGACCCGTGGGACTTTCTCTGTTCAAATCCCCCCCGCTCCCAGCCGGAATCCTCGGCAGATGTGGGGATTTGTGCACAACAAGATGGCTGCTAGGCAGGGCTGGGCAGCGATGGATTTATTGAGTTTGGACTCACTTCCCACCCGTGCTTTCCTTGCAGTCCAGCTGCCTGTGGGGAGGGTGGGATGCTTGGAGCTGTGATGTTTGAGTCAGTGATGATCCCAACTCCTTTGGTGCAGAACCGGTCTGGGCGGCCTGCACCCTCTTTGGGAACCAGACAGTGGGAAGCCCAGCCTTCCACTGGTCTAGAGCTGCCTCCTTGACCAGGAGTCCTGGGAACGTCAGGCATGAAGTTCCTGGCTCTGCAGAAGCTCCTTGTGCTGTGCCTGGTTCTGCCCTGAACATGTGCTTGCAGGATTTGAGGAGGAAGCTCATCTGCACAAGCAGAGGATGAGGATGAATCCAGGCCCAGCCAGGCCCTGGCTGTCCCCGTGTCCCAGTGAGGTCCCTGAGCTCCATGCAGTGTCCCTGCCCCCGGGAATGTGCTTCAGAGCCTCTTATCCCCCTTGGCTGGCAGGTCCTGGGGCAGTCCCGCAGCGGGCGGCCAAGGATCCAGGCCGGAGCGCATGATGGGAATGATGAGATCATCCATGTTTGGCATCACCAGAATCTTCTGAAAGAGGGACCCAGAGGAACAAGTCAGTGGGTTTGAACAGCACTCCCCTGCCTGGGGACACTGCCTGGAGGGGGCTTGGCAGGAGCCACACTCAGGTCAGAGCTCAGGGCTATGAACAGGTCCTGGGCTCCCACCCCCTCAGCAGCAGCCCCAGGGGGTTCCCAGCTCTGGATATTGGGGTGAGGACAAGCAGGAACAGTTTTTCTTGGCCCTGCCCACCCCTATGGCTTCATGGGTGTTCACAGCAAAGGGCAGGGACCAGCATTTTGAAATCATCCAAATGGGCAGCTCTTTGGGGGGCCCTAAATATCTGTGGGGATATTTCTGTTCTTTGACCAAAGGTCTCAAAGGTGAGAGGCTGAAAACAAACCCTTGTGATGGCAAATCTCCAAAGCATCCCCAAACCAGAGCAGATGGGTGGATTCAGCCCTTCTGGGGGGTGCATGCCTGGGACTGGCTGACAGCCTGAGTCTGCCCTGCTTGGGGCAGGGCTGCAAAAGGGAGGAAGTCACTTTTCCTCAAGCACTGTCGTGCTGATTATTTGGTTTCTCTCTCTTGACTGTCCAAAGCTGGACAGTGCAGACCAGATGTTGGCTTTTTGTAGAGACAACTGGCCCAAACTGAGGTTGATTATCCCTGGTGGCAGGGTTTGCTAAGCTCTTTAACAGCCCAGGCACCTGAAACTCGTGCTGCAGCTTCTTCTCAATCCACTCGGTGACGTGCAGGAACGTCACCTCCCGCTCGCCCAGCTTAGGACGCACCTTCAGCTCCAGCTGGGGCGGCACTCGGAAGCTGTACCTGTGGGGGGAAAGGAGAGAGGTAGAAAGCACCACGCCCCGATGGTGTGGCACAGCCCAGGTGGTCCCACTGCTGGGTTTTAGGGAGGAGGTGGCAGCTCACTGTCCCCTCCTGCCTTGGCCTGGATGCAGACTCAGAGAAATGAGCCTGAGGTCAGTGAGTCCCCTTGGGAGAACAATCCCGGGCTGCTGTTGCCCCAGGTGATCCCAAAGCCCTGGAGCTGGTTCCTTGGAGCCACAGGGAGGAAGTGGAGCTGGAAGAAGGATGTGCATGTTGGGGGAAGGAGAGCTGGTACCAGACTCGGTCCGTCGGTGGCGGGGGGATGTTCACAGCCAAGGTTCCTGCCAGCTCCTGCACCTCCACCGTCAGCAGCAGCGGTGTGTTGGAAACCTCTTCGATCTTCTTCTTGATGAACTCATTTTCCGTGGCCTTCTGGAAGTACTTGGACTTGGCGATCTTATCCACGAAGCGCAGGATCTTCCGGCTCGTGCTGTTGCCACTGACGTGGCTGAAGTGAGGGGAGCCCCAGCTCAGCACAGGGTGAGACCCAGGGCCCTGCTGGGTTTTGGAGTCCCCCATCCCTCTGCCAGGGCATCCCATAGGGATAGGGTCCCCTCTGAAGGGCTGCCACCATGTGCTGTGTGCCCTCCCAGGTACATCGTCCCCATGCCCCTGTGCTGGTGTAGCACTTCTCCAGCACCTCCCCGTGCCCCCCGTGGCACAGACCTCAACACCCCCTTACCCCTCGGTGCCCGGCGGGGGGACCCGCTCCCCCGGGGCTCCCACGGGCTCTGCAGCAGTGACATCTTCCTCCTCGGAGGAGCCGGCGCTGGAGGACTCGGCGTCGCTGTCTGCCAGCAGGATCAGCCGGGGCCTGGCCCTGCGAGCCCCGGGGAGCATCACGGGGGTGCCCTGGGCCAGCAGCCCCTTGGCTCACTCAGGCAGGAGGAGGAGGAGGATGAAGCCAGCCATGCACAGCCTCCTTACCCCTCTGTGCCTGCCTCTGCTGGGCCACTCTCCTCTGCAGTGCTCTCCTTCCCCAGCTTGCTGAGGTTCATCTTTGTCTCCAGTGTCATCTGCAACGAGCCGCTGTAGGTGACCTCCATGTCCACCCAGAGCCCTGCCAGGGAGAGGGACAGGGTGAGACCAGGTCAGCACCACGGGGGCAGAGCTGCTTGTGCACCCGCCAAAACTTCTGTGCTTCAGGTACCAGGCTGGCACCTCAGTGAAGCTGCAGTGGAGCCAGCCCTGGGGTCCCTGTGGGGATCTTACCTCGCTCATTTACAGTGGGGTTGGAGGCACTGAGGACCAAGGGGATGGATGTGCCCATGTCCAGCTCTGTCAGCGCCAGCTCATTCATGAAATACGGGAGCTGATGGAGGAAAACCCCGCGGGGACGGTCACTGCAGCCTGGCACCTGCCATGGGGCCTTGGGGACAGGGCTCCCCTGGCTGCTGGGATGCTCCTGCCTCTCACCTTGATCTTGCTCAACTTCTTCTGGATCTTGTTGGACACTTGCTCTGCCCAGTACTGCTCCCGGAGGAAGTCCCAGAAGATGCGCCCCACCAGCGCATTCATCCAGGCCATGCCAGCCTCGCCGTGCCCGCCCGTGTCCTCGCCGAGCTGTGGGGGGACAGGAGCCACAGGCCCCTGCAGGGAGGTGGCCCCCTGAGCACTGGGACCTGCTGCCCGGGTGTTCCCCTGCCCCAGGGCTTGGCTGCTCCGACCGCGGTGCCAGGAAGGAGGGGATGAAGCACAGCCTGGCAGTGGCTCCACGCAGGGCCCACCAGTCCTGCTCCCGGTGCCGGGTTTGTCCCACTCACCTTGGTGGGCGTGGGGCTGCCCAGAGCTCCGTGAGAGGGGCTCCGGTCAGGGCTGGGTGCTCCCTGTGCTGGCACGAATCGGGCCATGTAGGTGTTGTAATCCAGGTAAATCTCTTCCACACTTCCCAACAGATCCTTGGGTGGGACAGCAGAGGAAATGTCCTCGGTGCTCCCTCCGCTGCTGCTGCCGCTGCTCTGCAGAGCTGGTCCCATGCCTGGGGACATGGAATCCAGGGTCACTCAGGTGGGAAAAGCCCTCTCATGTCATCAAGTCCAGCCATTCCCCCAGCACTGCCAAGACCACCAGCAGACCATGTCCCCAAGTGCCACATCCACACGGCTTTTAAATCCCCCCATGCCCACTGCTGCCCACAAGGGCACATGTGCATCTCCCACCCGGATGGGTCCTGGCGCAGAGCAGAGGCCATGATGGCCACATCTCACCTGCCCTGGTGTCACCGTGGCTGCCGGGTGTCCCACGGGAGGCTTGCACGAGGTGCTGGTACCACTCCTCCTTCTCCCGCCCCGTCCTCCCAAACAGGTACAGGCACCTCTCCCTGCAGTCCCCTGGGATGTCCTGCCCAGACAGTGGCACCTTCTTTGTCCCCTCTTCCCCCTGCAGCTCCGTGTCATGCTCCTCGCTGCTCCTGCCCTCCTCGGGGAGGAGGACACAGATGGGGTATTTCTTGTTCCACGTCCGCTTTCGGGCCAGGCTGGGGGGGCACAGGAAGACCTGCGGCACCGAGAGCGGGGGTGAGGCTGGGCCAGGTGTGGGTGGGTGGGAGAGTCTCCCGTGGGAGAGTCCTGGGCACTGCCAGACTCACCTTGGCGTTGGTCAGGTCGTAGCAGCGGTGGCTGACGAAGGCAGTGTCGAGGATTTCCTCCTCGAAGGTGGCTCTGCGCGGGATGTTGCTCTTGGGGTAGGACAGCTTGAGAGTGGCCCCGTCCAGCACGGCGAGCACCGAGTGTGTGAGCGAGGGGTGGAAAAGCTCGGGGTCGTAGACGTGCAGCTGGTTCATCCAGCCCTGGGGGAGGGAGAGGGAGCCAGAGCTTCCCACTGTGCCCTGGGGGCAGCAGCCTGTACCCACCACGGGCACCTCCAACCCTGGGATCCCCTCCAGCCCCCCATCGCAGGACACCCCCCTCCTACCTGGAGGTGGAGGGTTTCCCGGGGCTCCCCCGGGAGCAGCCTGGGGCGCAGGCGGCCCCAGGGTCCCCGTGTGGCCGGCGGAGCCTTCGGCATGAGGATGAGGATGGCGAGGAAGCCCAGCAGCAGCCCGCAGAGCAGCCCCACGCAGAGGCCGGCGGCGTAGGGTGGCAGGGGCAGGACCAAGTAGCCGTAGGCGAGGAGGGCGATGGAGGCGAGGGCTCTGCCCGGCACTGAGCCCCCGGAACGTGCCGGCGGCGGCTCCTCGGGGGGCGGGAGCGGGGGCTCCGCATCCCTCTGTGCCACCTCCACCACCTGGATCACATCCCCGTAGGAGCAGATCTCGTAGCGGCAGTTCAGGGTGGGCTCCCAGGGGGTCCAGTCCCGCACCCGGCGTCCCCCGGCCCCGCGGCCCCCCGGTGTCCCGGGGCTGCCCCCCGGCTCCTTCGCCCGGGACGGGGGGCTGCTCTCCTCGGCCATGAGGCGGCTGAGCCGGCTCAGGGGCTCCTGCACGGCCTCCGACAGCCGCCTCCGCGTGTCCTCCAGCCTGGCCTCGCGCAGCCGGAGCAGGGCGGCCCGGCTCTCCGACGGGGAGATGCTGGGCGAGGACGGAGCCGTGCGGGACTTGGCGGGGCTCAGCCGGGGCTGGGGGGCCCGCGGGAGGTCGGCCAGGAGCATCCCCCCGGGCTGGGGCGAGGGGGGACGCTTTGTGTCCCCGTCCGTGGTGGGGAGGAGCCCGCCAGTGTCCTCCCTGGTGCCGGCAGGATGGGGTGTGAGTCCATCGCTGTCCCCACGCCGAGGTGAGCCCGGGGACGGTGCCAGGGCTGGAGAGGTGTCGGCCGCCGCCGCAGCCTGGTCTGCCATCGCTCGCATCGCCGACGGCGCTGCGGGGGAACAGAGGGGTCGGCTCAGCCCCGGGAGAGCTCAGGGCACAGCAGGGGCCTGCCCCAGCCCTGCCTTCCCCACCAGCACTGCCACGAGCCCCGAGCAGGAGCGGGCTGACCCCGGGGACCCCGTTGCTATGGGCTGGGCGCCTTCCAGCCTATCTCGGGATGCACTTGGGGCACACAGTGGCTCTCCCTGGGCTTCCCGGCAGGGATGGGATGGAGGAGGCGCCGTGGTAAGATGAGCTCAGTGATGGGGTGTGGGGAACCGCTTGTCTAAGGAGGATAAACCTCAGGCAGGCAATTAGCAACGGGGCTTTTGAGAACCCAAAACCACCAGCCAGGTCTGCAGCCCAGCGAGGGGGATTTTCCTGCACCAGGACACTCTGTTGGTCCCAGTGCAAGTGCTGGGGCTGCGAGGAGGGATGCCAGGCCAGCAGGCAGGACTCCCTGACTCCTCTGAAGGTTTCTGGCATAACCAACAGTGGTTTGGCTCCCTCTTCATGCACTGCACAAATCCAAAATGGAGCCAGTCCGAGCTCTGGTCCCAGTGCAGTGTGGGGATGCTCTGCAGGTCGGGAATCTCTGGTTTTATTGGAGGGGCACAAAAGTTTCCCTGACAAAGTTTCTGTGGCCTTGAGGGTGTCCTTGGCCATGGCAAAGTCCTGTCCTGACCCCAGCAGCCACCATGATCCCTCACTGCTGCACTCCTGCCAAAGCCAAGGGCTGACCCCCTTCGTGATTCTGGGAAGGAGGATGGACCCGCAGGTTGGGCTCTGCAGAGCCAGCTCCCAGCAGGTCCGTGGGGTGCTCAGCCTCTTCCCCTTGTGGCATCCCTGCTGCAGGAGCAGGGATGCCATCCCAGGAACCCTGGGGCTGCCTCACACCCGCCGCCCTGGATCTTCAAAGCTCCTCAGTGCCAGGAATTAATTACAGGCTGTGCCGCAGCTGCCTCCAGCCCCCTTTATATAATCTCACGTTCCTCGGCTCTCGCTTTGCTTCTGATTTACAGGAGCCACTTGTTAACCCCAGATCATCCATGGGTGATTGCCCCCATGGTCCCAGCAGCTCGCAGAGACCCCGGCTGGGAGGCTGGTGCCATCCAGCCTGTGGGCAGGGCTGTGGCAGCACTGGCATCACCAGCACCCCTGGCAGACAGAGCAGTCCAGGGCATCCAGCAAAGCACCAAAGCAGCCAAACAAGGAGAGAGCAGAGGAAAATGAGTGATGGAGCTGGGCCTGAGAGGGGAGTTAGTCTAGTGGAAAGTGTCTCTGCCCATGGCAGGGTTTGAACTGGATGGCCTTTAAGGTCACTTCCAACCCAAACCATTCCATCATTCTATGATTTCAAGGGATCCCTTCCCTGATCCTGCAGGGCTTTGTTCACCTCCCACCCAAGCACAGAAGCCAGGACACCCCTTGCCCCTCGTCATGCAGGTTTCCCAGTGGCCAAGTGCCACAGCCACCCCCAGTATCCCCAGTTCTGCCCATCACCCTTGGCTGTTCCTACCAGAACGCCCCGGGGCTGGTCCTTGGTGGGTCCTGCCTGGCCACTGCTCCCTGTCCCTGCTGGGTCAGGGGGACACCAGCTCCCCTGCTCTGGACTCGGAGCTCCTCTCTGCCGTTCCCGTCTCTCTGCTCCCACTGCTCCCCTACCCGGGGGGTTTAAAAACAAAAAAAAAAAAAAAAAAAAAAAAAGAGAAAAAAAAAAGAAGAAGTCTGTTTCCTGAGAGACCATTAGCACGGTGGAAGACAGAGATAATAATAGCCTGGGTTTGTATGGGAATTCTCCTCTGGCAGGGACGGTGAGTACTGCAGGGGCTACGCTGCTGCAACAGCCACCTCTGGGGAAGGGGGTATGGACCCCACTGGGTGCCATGGCTGGACCACCAGCACCCTGAGATGGAGGATCCATGCTGTGCACCCCTGGGGGAGGATTTGCTGCTGGCTCAGGCTTCAGAGGGCAAATGCTGAGTGCAGAGGTGTCCCAGCACAAACCCACCTCCCAGCCCGGAGCTCATCCCCAGCCTGTGCCTGCACAGGATAGAGGGAATCTTTTTGCTCTTTACAGGATAAATTGGATAGGAGGGTCCTGGTAAGTGCTTTCATCAAGTGCTGGGGGCAGCTGGGTGGGCTCAGCTGGGTGGTGGGATGATGGGGATGATGGTGGCTTTGGAGGCTCCAGCAAACAGCTCTCAGGGGGTGTCCCCCCAGCCCTGGTGGTACCTGGAAGGAATCAGTGCTGTGTTGGATGTTCCATTGAGGAGCAGTTCTTGGGACACCCAGTGCAGGGCTTCTCTGCAGGGCAGGGACACGAGACTCCCAGTGACTGTGTCCCCCCTCGCTGCAGTTGGAAACACCAAAGCCATAACCATCAGCAAGTGTCTCCACTGGATTCCAACTCCAAATTTCTGCTCTTTGCTCCCAGATCTGGTTCACGTTCAGGGCTTGGATTCAACAGAGAAAAGCTGTGGCCCAGCTTGGGCTGGTGTCTCAGTGTCTCCCCCTTCACGTGCCCAAGGAGCAGGAGCTGGCCCAGCATGGCACGGGGGTATGCTCCCTGTAACTCGCTCCCAAGCGGGCACTGCCTGGCTGGCGTTTGCTGTTTGTCAAATCAGGGAGAGTTAATTGAAACATTAACTTCCCTCAGCCCTCAGGTTAATTAGGTGACGGTAACACTGCTCTGCTGGGCTTTCCTCGCCCAGACAAAGGAGCTGGAAATCCCTCTCCAATTATTTCCACAAAGCACAGGCACAGAACCCAGCTGTGACACTGCCCCTGGAGTGCTCCCTGTTATCCCGAGATCAAGGAGCGCTGGGCTCTCACTGCAGCCTCGGGATGTCTCTTCAGGGAATGGCTCAGGCAGCGCAGGATCCCAGCTCCGTCCTCGCCTCCCACTTCCACATGATGTTGCTCTTTCTCAGGGGTTTTACTGGCGGATACTGGAGTGGATTTCATGCTGCTGGGGGAGTGAGGAGCCAGGTGGGCTTTGGCACCGCTGGAATGGCTCCAGTGGGATTCTGAGACCAAGCCAGCCCCGGGACCCACTCCCAAAGCCTCTCCACCACTCTGTGCATCCCAGAGCTTGAGCCCAGCTCTGCCTCTCCACGGACTTTGCTTCACTCCCATGTCTCAGCCATTCCCATCCTCTGCTCATGGTTCCCGAGACCTTCGCATCCCTCATGGGAACTCCCAGCCCTGGGGAAGGATCCAGCCAGTTCCCACACCCATCACATTCGCACCGGCAGAGCTTCTCCATGGGAATTTGGGTGAGCAGCAGATATTGGATGGACGATGCTGCCCAGACCCAGGGCCTGGCAGCTGCTGCAGCTCCTTCCACTGGCTGGAAGGTGTGCAGGGCCCTGGAGTCTATTTGGAGCTTTTTCCTGACATCCTACTCCTCTGATCTCGGTGGATGTTACGGGAGGTGCTTTCAGCACATCGCATCACCCTCTCTCTGTGCAGTGGCACGGCGCATTCCTGGCTCCCTGTGCCCCACGGGGCAACGGCAGAGCCCCTTCCTCCCCCTGCCCAGGCTCCTGCCACGAGTCATCAATCCCCGGGGCTGGAGCGGGAGCTCAGCCGGCCCGAGATGGAGCCTGACCTAATTCAAAGCGGCAGCACCCAGCGGGCAGGAGCCCCGCCGGCGCCGGCCCCTCGCGGGGGTCCCGCAGCCCCCGGGGGAGCTCCCGGCCCAGGGACACGTCCGTTGGAATGGGGATCCGTCCGAGCGCGTCGCTGCGGCCGCAGGGCAGCAGGGACAGACCTCGGCTCGTGCCCAAAGGGCGCCAAAATTTTTCCTCTTGCGCCAAGAAGGTGCCATTCCCATGAGAGCCCAAGCCCGGGGACTCATCCGAGGGTCCTTGGAGAAACTAGGGAGGAAGGGACTTGTAGTGCTGGTTTTTGGAAGGAGAAAGGAGCTGCAGCAGCTCATCCTCTCCAGAACCTGCCAAGGTTCACCTTCAAAGCCCTCACCTTGCCACACGCCGGGCTGATGCCTCCGCCTCTCCGGGACCCCCCGTGCCCGCAGGGACCTCGGTCAGTCCCCGCATCCCCCTGCGGGAGGGTCCCCACGGGTCACCCCGGCTCTGCACTCCCGGCGTGGTGCGACTGGGGGTCCCCGCTGAGCCTGTGCCAGCGCCCATCCCCGGAGCCTCGGGGGTGCCTGAGGGGACCCCCAGTCTCGACCACCGCCAACCCACCATCCTGAGGGGGAAACTGGGGCTGCCCCGGCCCCGCCGCCCGCCCCGGCCCCGCAGCGCCGGTACCTGCGGCAGGAGGGGGGGGCCCGGGGGATCCCGGGGGAGGGTCGGTCGGTCCCGGTGATGGAGAAGGACGAGCAATGCCGGGGAGTCGGACCGGTCCCAG